TACAATTTTTTATTTCATTAAGGGTATAATTGATAAGTTATTAGATTTTATGGCCAAATTTTTCATATAAATAAAACTTAGCACATTTTGAGAAATTGTGATTATTGAGTTAACTATATATGTTTAAATGCCAAGGAAAAAGGGGACATCTTTTATCAATATACCCCATGATTCCTAAACTTAAGGTACAAGTAACCACATATGGTCAAGATTTTTTATAAAAGGTGGTACGAAGTTGAAGAGAGGGACAAGTCTCCAATTTTACTAAACCAATAAGCCAAAATTTGCTACACTAAGCCTTTTTAGCTACCATTTGTATTTAGTTTATTTCTTATTAGCTCTCGAAATCTCCATCAAATCGTATTCTTCATACATATTTATAAAAGAAAGAAACTCAATGGTTTTAAAGGTTATCTAAGATATTTTAGACAATTACGATATACTTTTTTATAAATTATATAAAAGAGAGAAATTTACCGTTAACATAAAAAGAATTAGAATAGTATATAACGAGATTCTTCCTTAAAAGATTGTTAGAACATAATTTAATCAAACTCATAGAAATAGTCAAAATTATCTTTGTCTATGATGTTTTTGACCATTTCGATATATTGTCTTTTAAGATTTACCTTAAACATAGTTTCTCAAAAATATTTTTGACAAAAACGTAAAAAGACCAAATACCCTTCTAAAATAGAAGTTACATCAAAATGTGTCAAATACAATGGATAAGAGAGATATAATTACGATTAATTAATTAATTAAGTAACGAAAAGAGAGGAGAGCGGGACACAGAGTGTACGAAATGGGGAAAGTACAAAATAAAAGATGAGAATGAAGAAATGAATGCCACACGAGAGGATATGATGACATGAAATTGGGGACCCACCTCTTTAATTATTTTGCTATCAATGAGAGAGAGAGAGAGAGAGAGAGTTGGATTCTGCTTTTGCTTTGTAATCGTAATTGGGCTTTATGTGATTAAAGGGAATGAGTTTTAATGCTCTCCATTAGCACATAGAATATGTCCATAACATTTTGTCATGAAACCAAATTCACATTTGAAGAAGGCTGTTTTGAGGAGATATTAATGTCCTAATTAGAGGTGAAAAAGTAACTCGTTCAGCCTGACCCGACCCAACCTGCAATGGGTTACTTAATTAGGCAGATTGGTCCTAACCCGCCCGCCAACAAAGATAGGTCGGGTTAGGCTCGTCGTTTTTGGGAAAATGGTTAGCCCAGCGCGGCCCGTCAACCCTAACCCGCCGGGTTAGGCTATGGGTCGGGTCGGGTTAGCCCTATTTTTTTACTTTTTTATTTTATTTTGTTTTATTTATTTAACTTTTCAAATAAATAATTAACAATTTATAAATGAATAAATGTAATTGTTTTTAGTTAACTTTTCAAATATCAATAATTAAATTAATTTTTTTTTTTTTTTGTTAACATTTCAAATATTAATTCAATTTTAATACAATAAAATTGTAATATAAGAAAAATTAGATTTATTCATTCAATTGATGAAATTTTAGCAGAAGAATTAATTATATTTTATACAAGACATGGAAATTTGAGAATAAAACTTTAGTATTCATTTTTTTTTATATTTTATGTACCATAAAAAAAAAATAATATATCAAATATTACGAAGTTTTATACATTTTAATATTTATGATTTAGAAGTATAGTTTAATATTATTGTGTAAAATTATTTGTAAGAGTTCAATCATAATAGTTTAATTAAAAGAATTAAAAAAATGAGAGAAACTTGAAAAAAAAATAATTAATTTTTTATTTTTTTAATTCTTTTTGGGCCAACCCGCTGGGTTGGCTAATGCAAACAAAATAGCAATTCGTCGGGTTGGCGGGTTGCCATATAGCAACCTGGCCCGCCTGAGGGTTGCATGCGGGTTGAACCCTCTCTAATGCGGGTCGGGTTAGGGTTGACCCACATAACCCGGCCCATTTGTTCCACCTTTAGTCGTAATAAATGTTGTTCTTCTAAATTATTACTTGTTGATCATAGACCACTAAATTTCTATTATATTTATTCGAACTTATTTGAGAGAAGAGACAGAGAAACCTCATTTTGTATTATTCAAGTCTAAAGAGTAAAGTTGCAAACTGTATCACACTTATTACATTTCAGTAACCATGGTTAATTAACCATAGTTAATAGTAACCCTAGTAACTACTTTAAACAACTAAACTAAGCTCTTAACTATACCCAACTATATTAACTATAATACAACTACTAACAAAAACATGCATTATACTATACATCAAGAAAATAAAATAATAATAAACCAAGACCCCCCTCAAGTTGGCGGGTGATGAATGTTAAGCACTCCCAACTTGGATAATAAATGGCGATGGAGAGGACCAGCAACAGTCTTAGTGAACAAATCAACAGGCTGTTCTTGAGTAGGAATGTGAATAGGATGTACTAGGTCTTTCTTGATTTTAGTACGAACTATATGACAATCAATGTCAATATGTTTGGTACGCTCATGAAACATTGAATTAGAAGCAATATGGATGGTTGATTGACTGTCACACCCGAGAGGAATGGGCTGGTGAACCGAAATGCCAAGATCAGTCAAAAGTTGAGTAAGCCATACAATCTCACAAACTGTAGAAGCCATGGCACGATATTCTGTTTCAGATGAGGACCTGGAAACTGTAACTTGACACTTAGATTTCCATGACAGTAAAGAACCTCCCAAGAAGATGCAGAAACCAGTAATTAATTAATTTGTGGCCAGCGATGGCTTGGTTTACTGGTGGGGCTATTTTTTGGGGTGGTTTTATTTTTAAATTTGATTTATTTGTTTTCAATTTAATTAATTAATTTGATTTCAGTTATGTGGAGTGATAGAAAAAAAAGGGGTAAATTGGTCATTTTTCCAATTCATCAACAGAAGTTTCACTCTATTGCATTTTCTCAAGACTGTTTGGTTGCTGAGAAAATGATGGAAAATCAGGCTTGACATTAGTCATTTGTTCTGATACCATGAGAGAAAAAAAATAGAAAATTTTAGTAAAAGTGGCAACTGAACACTTCTTCATTCATTGTTTCAGGTGAAATGCAAAACTAACGTTGACTTTACATTACAAGTGTAAAACTAACAGAGTATTAACGAAGATTAACAGTTGCAGTTAAGTAACTGACAGCAGCATATTAGTACAGCCTCAAAAATCATCCGCCGTCGCCTCCAAAGAACTGGAAACCGAGCCTGTTGCTTATCAATTTGATATTGTTCACTTAGCCTAAGATGTGCCATAAGAAGACATACAGAGTGAGTAACTCTCTACCATTCATAAGTTGTTGACCATGCGGTCTCCATCCACAATGACTTGCAGCATAAATCAACATTGCTATCCATACCTCAGTTATCATTTTCCATTTTTTTCTTTGCTCCAACCAAGATTGGATTCCAATTCTTGCAATTGCTTAGCAAGTCTACATCTATAAAATAACAATGATAGGCTTCTACCTCCCTTAATTTGTTCCAGTGAATCATCGGTTCGCACTTCAAATAATAACTCACAAGCTTTACTTATTTCACCAGAGGTTTCAAGTCTTTTCCGTTTAAAAAATTTCATTGCTTCCGCACAAGTTTTTCTATACCTGATCTCCCCAATCCCTTTGGGCAACATGGTTGGACATACTACCAAAAGATACAACATGTAATCTGAAACGCATTTGCTAGTGTTGCATAGTTGAGAAACTTCTTCAAATCCACAACACTGTTGATCTCTATAATAACAAAGATCGGTAGCAATGTGCCAAAGGATGAGGCTGTGATCAAATTCTGCCTCAATTGTGCTCCAATTCAACTCATCAAGACCATACATTTTCTGAAGCACATTATCACCTCTCTGAGCCAACAATGTTTTGCATAACTTGATATCAAACCGATCACCTTCAATTACTTTGGCTTGCTCTACGAGTTGGTTGAAGATCGATTCCTTCAAGTCAATTTCGACATCTTTCCAAGTCAAATATTGGTACTTCTCTATCATTTCTTTAACTCCGATTAATTTCTGAACTCCAGCAGTTTTGGTTGATATGTCTTGGAGACAAAAACTGAGTAGGTTATATTGACACACGGATCCAGACCACCTTTTGTTGCTGTCATGTAAATCAGAAGGTGTTGTTAAGATTTTCATAATATTTTGTATATATATTTTGTAATCAAGTGAATATTATGTAATCTTTTAGTTATGTCAGGTATACGATCTCAGAATATTCTAGAGATTATGTAATCTCCTAATTATGTTAGACAAAATATTGTGTAATCCACAATTGACATAATTAGGAGATTTCGGAGATCGTATACTTCCTATATAAAGGGTGTAATTCCTTAGTGATAAATCAATGAATTGAAAATCCAATTCTTTCAAACAAACATGGTATCAGAGCCACTCTCTAATCTCTAAAAAAAAATTCTCATTGTAGAGCAGCCATCGGAAAAATCACCAGTGAGTAATCATCCCATCGTCGTCAATCCAAGAAGGAGAAAACGACTGCAATCAATCCAATCCTCCAAACTTCAGTCACCAGAAAACACCACCATGCTGACGTCAAACCCGATCTATTTCCGACGACTCTGATCGGCAGTTGCTGTGCCACCGTAACTTGCCTGTTATGCTTGTTGAGAGTTTGTTTTTAAACTTCTTTTTTATTTTTCCTCTTTTTTCTTNAGTGTTAAGATTTTCATAATATTTTGTATATATATTTTGTAATCAAGTGAATATTATGTAATCTTTTAGTTATGTCAGGTATACGATCTCAGAATATTCTAGAGATTATGTAATCTCCTAATTATGTCAGACAAAATATTGTGTAATCCACAATTGACATAATTAGGAGATTTCGGAGATCGTATACTCCCTATATAAAGGGTGTAATTCCTTAGTGATAAATCAATGAATTGAAAATCCAATTCTTTCAAACAAACAGGTGTATCGTTGGAAATAAAATTATGTGTGCACAATCAAAGCTTCGTCCAGTCGTAAAAAAGAAGTATGATGAATGCATAAATCTCCAGAAAAATAGCCCCAATTAGGAGTACAGAAGTTATGGAGATGTCGATCAGCGTATAGGCATGCTTTTCCGTAATGAAGATGATGATTAAGAAGACAACTGATACAGAAACATGGGAGAAGAAGCAGAAGCATCGAAGAAAGATGCCGAATCCGGAATAAATTGTGCTTGCCTTGGTGTAGAGCACATCATACATGAATCCAAGCTCAATCGCTACCAATTTGCAGGCATCTTTTGCTGACTCTTTGGGAATGAGGGAGTAGCTCTTTTTTCGTTCATAATGATCAAGAATTAGGTCTGCGAAGAGACAACTAAATCTTTGGAACAATAAATCAGCCATTACAAGATAATGATCGTTCTTTTGGTCTGAGTTATCCTGTCCATCATCGGGTACATCTACTTCAACACCACGGTGGATAAGTTCCAGTGCTTTAGCAAAATCTGGGCCAGTGTCATGAGATGAGCGCAAAGAATTTTTAAGTTGCTGAGCGCTTGAAAACCAAAGCACCAAACACCTCTCTCCACACTTTACAATACCGATGATAAACATTGGAATGGCTATAAATCTGAGCGCGGTATTGTTGTTCCAAGACCGTATCATGACATAGATTGCTAGTAGAACTTGGATGACAAGTCCAAGAAAGTGCCTTAACCACAACTCATTGTCTTCTAAAAAGTACGCCGTGATAGTATCTGGGCCACCAACGTGCAAGAGAAGAAATGGCGCCCACAATGCCTGTAGCATATTGTTTGATTGGAAAGACATACTGTCATGATCTACTTGGTTGCGAGCAAGGTTTCCCAGAGCAAATGTTGCCACCCAGTCTGCTGTCAAGTATGCTAACCAAACAAAGAGAAATATCTGAATATTTCTGGTATATTTGCGTCTGGAACCAAATATGACAAGGATGATTTGTAAGAAGAGGCTCAATAAAACAATCACTCGAATTTCCCATTCGTTCCAAAGTTTCACTACTTCTTGTGAGAAAGGTTTCCTGGCTACCATCTTCTAGATAGAAATCGAACTGCATGCAGATGAAAAACTATATTTAAAAAAAAATTGTTCGCAATTTAAATCTGTTAAATATGGAAGCCTGAAACAGCGTCGTTTAAGGGATACTAATACGGCGTCGTTTTAGGCATATTAACTTTGGCAAATTCAGACCACAGGATGCGTTTCAGATTGAACGGCCAGGATCACTCAAAGAGTCAAACCATATATAAACATCTGTTCTTTCAGTTTTCAGGGCAGAGAGAAAAATAAACAGTGGCTAGGGTTGAATTGAGTCATTTCTTTTTCTCTGTGTTAGGGTTCATATTCCACATTCACGATTGTGTGTATCAGTCGAGTGATTAGGGCTTTAATCATTCAGGTGAGAGTGTTGTCCTCTCGGGTTGGGATATTCATCGGGTATCTTGTAAGGCTGATAGCCGTGTAAACGGAGAGATCTGGTGAGTGTTGAATCTGTGTAATCTTGACTGGTTTCTGGTAATCAAGTGCAGCGAGC